TTTAAATGGAACATCCTGTATATTTTTAAACGTATGGATTTCGGAGAAAATTCTGTATATGGTAATATAAACAGTTTAGTGCGGGATTGCCAAATTATGTAAAAAATTCTTCGAATTTTGGAAAAAACATAACCTTGAAGAAGTATTAACTTTCAGCTACTAACACTGGGAACAAAATAATTAGAGTTATAGGCAAATGTTATACAAAGGCTCCTATATTAGCTAATATCGATATTTTATACAGGGCATTTTTTATAATACGATCATTTTTAGAAAGTTCAAACTTGATTTTCTAAAATTTTTCAAATGGAACACCCTGTATTTTATTGTTCTATTTTATTCACATATCAGTCCACTTCAACTTTTATTAAGTATGTTCTACACCTAAAGTTGTTAGTTTTTAAGATATAGCAACATTTCTGGAAAAACCTAATTTTTATTATTTTCGGTCGCACGAAATGGCTTTGGAAAAAACTGTCACATTGTGTCAACTTGTCAGTTCATAATTTATCATTCCATTTTGAGTTAATTTTATTAGTTAATATTTATTTGTGGTATTCTATAAAATAATAAAAATTAAGTTTTTTCAGAAATGTTGCTATATCTTAAAAACTAACAATTTTAGATATAGAACATGCTTAATAAAAGTTGAAGTGGACCGATATGTGAATAAAATAGAACAATAAAATACAGGGTGTTCCATTTGAAAAATTTTAGAAAATCAAGTTTAAACTTTCTAAAAATGATCGTATTATAAAAAATGCCCTGTATAAAATATCGATATTAGCTAATATAGGAGCCTTTGTCTAACATTTGCCTATAACTCTGTCTAATTATTTTGTTCCAAGTGTTAGTAGCTGAAAGTTAATACAACTTCTTCGAGGTCGTTTTTTCCAAAATTCGAAGAATTTTGTATATAACTTGGCAACCCCGCACTAAAATGTTAAACTGTTTATATTGCCATATAAGTATAGAATTTTTTCAGAAATGCATATGTTTAAAAATATACAGGGTATTCTATTTAAAAAAATGTAATATTTGGCGTGTCCCGTTTTTAAGCATCGCCCTGTGTGTTTCAAATTAATTTTGTTCTTTAGGTTTTTTTGATTCTGTACAACGTCTGTATAAACTTTTTTCTGTATTATGAATAACAAGGGAGTTATTTTACTTTCTCACACTAATGGCCCACCCTGTATAAAACAATATCTCCAATATTTAAATAAATAATTTTCTGTCAAACTGTTTTTTTATTAACAGTAACGTTACTATACCATACTATTACTAAAGTGACATTTCAATGTGGTAAAGTGCCACCTTAGTAAATGATCTTGAATTTAGTAAAATAGCATATTATCAGTCAAAATGCGGAAAACATATTTACACAATTCGAGAAAATAATTTTCTCAGTTCTTGCATTTAATATTATTGGTTTTAGATTTTAGAATTTCACAAATTTCTTCATAAACTGACTTATGATAGAATCGAATATATTGAGATTCTATTAAATTTAATTTTTTTTTATTCCAAGGACGAATTTTTGACTAAATCAACTTTTTTATTATAAAGCTGTGGAAATTAATATTATTATCTACTTTATCATAAGGTTCATCATTAGGCAAAATCAAATACCTACATTGAAAATATTTAATATATTTTTTTTTAAAATCCTATCAAATGAATTCAAACAATGTTCTTCGATACCAGAAATCTAAACAAGCAAAAAATATCTAACCTCACAGACAACTAACAGCTAACTGTTGATATTGCGGAAAATAACTTCTGTGTCCCAGCTAGGATTGAGTTACCCTAGCAATACCCAATAAACAACTAGTAATAAATAATTATCTAAGTACAATAAATAAGAAACGATATGCCCAAACACGAGTATTGTTAATATAAAAACACATATCAAACATAGTAAAATTGTTAAGTAACATAACATTTCGAATCTTGTCTTTATAATGTAGAAATAGCAGCTATAGGAAGATCTTACTATTTCGACGTTCGACTTGGGATTACACAGGGTTTTTTGTAACGAAGACGCCATATTGTAATGAGTTCCTGAAGTCAATCAATCAATCTAATTCGACTTACTTTAGCGCTAAAGTTAATAATAACAAACATACAGGGGGTCAAAGATGAAAAAAAAAGGTTTTCCTCAAGATTTTTTAATGCATAGTAGGTATACCGACCATATTCGATCTGCAGAAGTTTATTACATGCCGAATTCCAAATATCTACTATTACATCAGGAAAATTAGCGAAAATAAAAGAGAAACTCGAAAAAAGTCCTATCCGCGAGATTATTGTAAAGTGGTCTAAAGGAACATAATACATGACATCTCTCATCCCCTTTTAAAGATTTGTATTTTTTGCCAGCTATCCATTGCATCTATTTTCGGTGAGTTAGCATAAATAGCAACAATATTATTCAAATTGTTTATAAGCGAAGAACGCACGGTTTTTTTATGCATAATTTGAGAATGTTAATGTCAAAAAAACGCACTAAAAGAAATGGGCTTATTAAACTGTTTATCTAGAATAATGTGTATAGCGCATATTAAAACTTTTATAACCAATATACAACTTTTATTAAAAAAAGCAATCATCTCCATACTCATTATTCAATCAGTTTAACTGGAAGGTGCTCAATACACCTTATGCATCTATGAAATAAAGGTTATAATGAATTACTTATACATTATTAGGTGTTATAGACTTTATGTTCCAATTGT